GAGCGAGGGCAGAGCACGCGGTGCCCACACCCTTGGCTTCGGGGTGAATGCTGGCGGCTGCGGCTGGCTGGGGGAGAGGGGAAGGGGTTAGGAGCGCAGGGTCGAGGTGGAACAGCCCCGCCCCCCAACTCTTGCGCTTAGGACCGGAGATCTGCTACATGCTGCGCTGGGCCCGCAGCCCCCGCTGGGCCCGGGCTAGGATGGGCGGGCAGGGGGCGGGGCGCTGCGCGGGCCGGCGGGAAAGGGGCGGGGAGGACAGCTTAGGCTCTGGCGGGCAGAGGGACGGCGGCAGAACCTGCGGGCTAGGTGGGTGACTCACTTGCAAGGAGGAAAGGAAGCGAAGACTGCTGCTGCCGGGGAGCGAGGAGATGCTTGGAGCCCAGAGGTCAGGCCGCTGCCACCTCCTTCTGCAGCGGAGATGGCGAAGCCAGCGGGCGCATGGTCCGCAACAGCGACCTTGCGCGCAGGTGGGCACCCCCGAATGCGGTGTTCTGCCCGGTCCCGGTCTGCAGCGTGCCCTATGCCCTCCCAGGCTACTGAGCTCGCGGACGAGGGCTGGGCAGGTCTGGGAGCCAGAGGAAGGTGCACGGCCCCTTGGTGTGCACGTTTGTGCGCGCGCGCTGTGCTAGGTGGGAAAGAGGTGCGGAAAAGCTGCCTCCTTCAGGATTTTCTCCCTCGGGTCTCACTGTCCCCATCCCCACCTTTTTTCTGACGAGCTAAGCACCCGAGCGGCTTTGAAGGACTGCGACCTCTTCCCCCCGCCCGCAATCTTGGTGGTGTTTGCAGTTCGCCCCCATCTTAACAATCCGCACCCAGCAACCATCAGGATGCCCCTTGCTCTGGGCCCTCGAAACTGTAGGAACCTTGAGAGGAGACATAGTGGTGGTAGGATCAGCGGGTTGTGTACGAGGAAGGCAAGAGTTACTGGAGTATTGTCTGCCGGGGGTCCGGTGCCTGATTCCGTTCCTCCCTGTCGCTTCAGGGCCAGAGTGGGGGTTGGGGGGTTGGAAAGGGTTTGCTGAACTTATTTCCGATGGCTGAATGTGCACATGCACTTGGCGCCTTGTGCACGTTTGGACGAGGGTTTAATGGAGACACGTGG